AAAGCAATTAAAAATCATATTGTTTCACTCCATGGGCAAAATCCCATCCCATCTAATTAGAGATCATTTTCATTGGTTTGATCGCAATCAGAGGCTCGATGAGGTTAAACAGAACGAGATAATAACCAACAGACAAAATGCTTATTTTTGTTTCTAACTAAAAACAAGTCTTGAATCTTCATCTAAAAAAGGCAAGCACCGTACCATGGCTTTATGTTGTGAGATGATTGAAAACGGAAGCAGTGAATTTTGTAGATTCAAATAAATGATGGTGTCTCACTGACCCCGCCTCCCCACCCACTCAACCCAGTCCATGTATGTCCTCATACATTTGAGCCATGTGTAATGTATACAGAATGACAGCTCCAGCTTCCTTTCTTTAACTGTGTATGGTTATATATTCCCTGTAACTAAATGATGCAGTACGCTGGAAATGGGTAGCAGTTATGCTGCTTCTCATTCTTTGCCTGAGCTTATTGGCAGGATTTTATTAATGATAAATTGGTAAAATGATCCATTTACCCTTTTTGCATCTTTATGTCATAACTGGATCTGAACATGCATCTCAAACAAGCTGCAACAGGCCAATAACAGCAGGAAGCATCTTTATATTGGACGATTCTACAAACACCCCATAGTTTAAAACCAATACCACCACTCAAAACAATCACAGAAATGTGTGTTTTCTTTATGTTGCTGGCCAGAAATGTGTTGTTCTTGTCTGGCACTAAAGGTTTGGGCTGAATATAATATGCTGTAGTGTCTATCAGCCCCTGATTAGTTCTCTCTAGCCAACTATTATGGATTAACATTGTAAAAAGTAATTGTGTCGAATTTGCAACATATGGAGCGGTGTATAATTTTAATTCAAGGAGGTTTCAAACTTCTTAAAGGCTAAATTAGTGTCAAAATACCACTATGAATTAAGTAATAAGGTGCTGCAGAGATTCATTTTTAAATAATGTTCAAAAGAATTAAGAAATCTTCATTAAATATCCTTTTAAAAATAAGAAGATTTTAATATGTTTTCAATGAAAATGTGAATAACTCAGAAATGATAAATTCATGAATGATTTCACAATTGCAATATCAGGCAAAATAATCGCAATTATATTTCCAAATTGCTCATGCTTAATTAACACCTTATAATTATAAACGATATTTCTCACAATGGCTTTGGACCAAAACTGGCTGTTGATGTAGGAGATTGTTTTCTGTGAGGAGACATTTAAAAAATGAAGCAACCATGGTCATGCATCCATGTTTGCCGAAATTGCCAACACAGTGTTTGCCTGAACCATTGGTCATGTGTACACATACTTTGATTAAAATAAATGGCTGACTGAAATGTTTGCCTAAAGCCAGGTGGGGTGGAACGGTAATCAAATGCAGGGTAGCTTTTCAGATGAGTTGCTCATACAGTGGCTTCCCGTGGTTGATTTGCTGACAGCAGAGTCCTGACAGGTGTGTCATAACAGTGTTTCACTCTCATAGCTGTAGAGTGCACATGTTTTAGTGTATGTGAGCACAGGATGACGAACAACTGCCATACAAACTGCGTCCAGAATAGAAATGTGCCTGATTACACCCGCAAAGTGTGCCAAGATTAAAACCATTTTGTTTAATGTCTATTTAGGCCTGTCCTAAGGAGAAAACACTACAGTAGTTTTAGCCGGCATCCTGACATTTCACAGAAGACTAAATCGTTTCAGAACAGCTGTTTGAATTAAACATATACATAACCATCTCTGTTTTTCTAGCATTTGTAACTGTGTGTACAGTATGCAATCGTATTTCAGCATTGACTCATCTTTGCTGTCAAAGCCAAATAAAGTTACTCATTAACAAAAGTGACATCCAAAACGTGCTCCATAGTGGGATGAAAGAAAGGAAGGCTTGTTCCGTATTCTCGACAGCAGTCTGGCACAAAATGCTAAAATGAAAAGGGAAGTAGGGGGAAGTAAAAGGTCAGGCTCATTAAATGTCAGCAAAGAGCATCTTAATAATTGAATCACTCAGACAAAGAACCACATACTTTAGCTTTGAAGGGTTGAGGAACCACTTGCAGTTACACTTGTAGTTTTAAAGTCACTAGAAACTCAAGATATGAATTTCAAAATGACGGTTATACAGAATACTAACCTCAAAAGACCTAACATAAAAATACATTTGGATAAGATCCATAGTATTTTGTCTACCAAAAAAGCAGATTTTTTTTAACAACCTCTGTTTTATTTCTAACAGTTGAGTTGGTACGTAAATCTTGAGATAATAAGTATTTTGATTGAGGTGGTTTCTTCTTTCACATATTCAGGGTTATAAGATAGCTGACGTTGAAGCATTGATGACACCTCACACATAGTGAGGAGTCCAATTAAAAATGCATGGCGACTGATCGAGAGGTGATGTAAGGCCTGAGGGAAAGCAGAAGTCCACAGCCCCTCCCACAATGCAGGGTGAATAGTTCAGCTGTAGAGCTGAGTTCACAGAAACTATGATCACACTCTGAATGGCATCTGCATGATTTTTTGTTGTTCTTTAAGTTCAAAAAATGAGAAGAAAATATTTCAGACACTTCTGGAACCATCCCAACGATAAATGGGATAATTTTGCAAAAATGTTCCTAAATGTGTGTCTTTTTTTCCACATGTTTAAGAAATTAAACATATACGTTTTGTTCATTATTTAACACCAAAAAAACGCTTCAAAGGTAAAGAATGTTGTCATTGGACCCAAGAACAGTTGTGACTTCAAAACAATAAAAGAAGGCCTCAATGGAAATGTATTACATGTTAGGACCATATCTGATCATGTAAATGCATTCTATATGCTTGTGTTCCCAATGTGTTACCATGAAGCATGGTGTGGTTGAAAGTATTTTAATAAAAGGCCTGTCACTGATATGAGTCCATTCATATGGTTTGGTGGGTCCTCATAAAAACGTGTTTTCATAACACAAAAGCCCTCAACCTCAAAGTAAGAGCCTTTGGAGAGTGAAACTGTACCTAAGGCTCAAGTGGATGAGCATCCCATATGCTTGTGTTGATACTGAATCAGTATCAAGAGCGCATAGGTTTTGTATTTCTACAGCTGAGGAATATCATACTGTTGTTTCATCACTGTGAATTTGCATCAACAAGGAATTACTCATACAGACGGCTCCACAGACCAAGGCTGCATTTCACCGGCAGTGGATGCTTTGATGAATAGTTTTGACTTCAAGCACTGACTCATGAATGTAGTACATAATAGATATGAACCTTGCCTTATGGGTTAGACTTGCTATGCATGCATTTGTAAGAATGATGATTTGACTAAAGTGAACTCCCTTTATGATTTTGACACCATAAATGTCATAATGCAGCTCAGTCATCAGCAGGCTGTGCTGATGCGTTCGCAAATCTTTGCTCGAATCTTTGTTGTGCTACAGACCTGTTCTTTTCTATTAATATATCTTCAAAACTACACAGTTTATGGTCACAATCATTTTTCCCTGAGAGCTTGTGACTGCATGTCAGAGAAAATCACACTTGAGACCAAACAAGATGTTTTACTGTTTTGTGTTGATCCGTCAAAAAAACCTAACCTCAAGACAGCCAGTTTGTTATCAATGGCTTACTGAGAGCGTAAGAGCCTGAGCATCAATCCATCTCCCTGTGTACCTGTTTGAGTGTGTTACTGTGTGAGTGGAAGAGAGAGAGGGGCATGAAAGGAGGACCAATACACTGTACAACTAGTGGACTTTGGCTGGAAGCTGTGGAGTGGAGTCAGGGGACCGATGAGAGTTGAGCTTTATAATGTTAGAAAGGACCAGATATGTGCTCTGCTCCTCTGGGAAAATCAACAAAGTGCTCGATGCTTTTGATATTGGTTGGCCATACAGTAGATGTGCCTTCAGCGATGATAACTTTTGGGATGTATGGCAGTTACATTTTATTTGTATAGTACGTAAACATGGTACAGTACATGCTTATCATACTCAGGTATCACACTGATTTTATGTAAAATGTCTTTGAGCATTCAGAAAAGCGCTATAAAAATCCCATGTATTATTATTATTAAGCTGGTTGATGTCAGCTGTGCAGCAGGCTCAACATCCCTATAAACGTTGAAATTGTAAATTATGAATAAGTGAAATGTTGCACTAAAGAGTTAAATAAAAGCTGCTGCTTGACGTCCCAAAAATACCCTCCTTAAAGTCCCCGAGGCTGTAGAATTTGGTGGATCATTGGCTACACACTCGTACTGTAAGAGCACAGGGCACCAGCAAATCTGTGCCTCAGAGGGGACTGAACCAACCATCTGTACTGGGGAGCTACAGATCATGACAGATCGTGAACTGTTAACAATTGTATCAAAAGCATGTGGTGCAATCAGCTGTGCTACAGCAGGGGCTGGTGAGGAATCACATTCATTATAAACCTTATAGAACATTTTTCTCGTTGCCCCAGTCTTCCTTCTGTCTCACTTCCCCTCTTTACCTTCACTGTGGCCTGTTGATTATCCCTTGCAGTGGCTCCTGAGCCTCACTGGAGCTTGTATCAACTCCTTCCTCCCTCCGGTGTGACATTCAGAGCATTACAATTGAGTCATCAATCTGTCAGGCCTTACGCCAGCTAAGCCACGAGCCGTGGGAAGCACAGGAGACAGACAAGTTTACCTCTGCTTCTCTTTTGCTTCTCTGTAGTTAGGGCCTAACAACCAATAAGTGTCAGACATGATGTGAAATAGGTAATATTTTTGTTGCCAGCCGAGGCAAGCCATCCATCGTCATTTTTCACACTCATTCCCTCACCCACCGTTGGGTATTTTTTGCTGATGACTGACTTGGTTATTGCTGTTGGCTCCTCACTCTGTTGGATTCTCATTGTTTTTTTACCACCGCCCCACCCCCCCACTGGTACCTCTCATATATACGCACAACCCACTGCTGTTTCTCAAATCTTCTCCCTTTTCTTTGTCTTCTTATTTTTCTCACTCTCTCTCTCTCCCTGGGTCAGACTGAGCTCCTGTAAGGAGGAGATAAAGCCCCCCAGCAGGGCAGGACCACAGCTGTCGCCTTCTGACTTCCTGGACAAGCTCATGGGGAGAACATCAGGATATGATGCCCGCATCAGACCCAACTTCAAAGGTAGAGAACATGCCCTCACAGTAGCCCTGAGGAAAATCAAATCCATAGCACCACAAGCACTAGAAGAAAAAAAGGCCAGTGGATCTGGGCTTCAAAATCTCAACATCTGACCATTCTCCTGTGGATGTGCTGTATACTTTTTTGTCAGAAAGGTTTATATTTTTCTAAGATTTCTAGCTTTCCAGGACATAAATATTGCATCAGCTTGTCCACATTTTCAGCATGTTTGGATTTTACACAGAACTTTTCAACCTAACTGCTGGCCGTCACCACAAACTGTTAATTAGATACTTTGTTGTTTGATGTTGGCTTAATTAAGAGACATAATATATTATACTACGCAGCACAAGCACCCTGCAACCCTGTCTCCCAATTATGTTCTGAAGGAAATATAATTGCTGCCTGAAGCATGTTTACTGGTAATGTTTTTTAAACCAGTAAAGGAATTGCTACTTTTTTGTACTAGCACAAGTGTTAGGGGATTTTAAAGTCTGACATTGGGATAAAATCAACTGAACTGCCTGTGTCTTTTTTAGAAACATTACAAACCAGAAGGGAATTAAAAACTATATTTCAGTTTCCTGATGGTGCTTCTTAGTTTTGCTTTGCATAGGTTGAAGCTTGGATAGCTTATTAGTTGTTGCACATTAAACATGATGAAAACAATATATCCAAAACACAATTTGACTTGATTTATTGATAAAAAGAATCATGATTAAATGCGATTTCAGCTGAACTTACGACCAAGGAGCGGTATGATTTTTGACAATTGAACATTTTAAAAGCAATTGTGCGCCAAGGATAACAAAGTATCTTCATCGCCTGCATGAGCTGTCACAGGTGCTGCTCCAACTGCTGACTGTTGATGAGCAGGCAAAACCAATGAGCCAAACGACAAAAACTGACTTCCCATCGTCTCAGAGCTCCAGCACGCACCTGTCCCTTCTACCTCACGCAGCATATTATACTAACATCTCTCCCTAAGTGCCCTACTGGGAAGGAGGACCTCACAGAAGGAAAATCTGTGTTCTGGCCATGAAAGCACTTTAGTAGGGAAAAGTTTGTTTTGGTCAAATCTGGTAAATGAGTAGCATAATCATTTTATTTCAATAACGTAATGTCAGTGTTGTAAACTAATGATTTTATCAGAATGCAGGAAGATGGATCTCTACAACCTTAATTTGAACAAATGCAAAAGTTATCTGTCATTTAAGAATGAATCATCTTCTTGAAATTTTGGTTTCAGTTAATGTCAGAGATTTATTTTGGATGTAATTACCTTTCAAAAAATGCTTGAACAAAGTGGTACATTTGATGAACAGGCTCTTCAACGGCAACATTTTCAGCCAAAATGACTGCTTAGGATGAAAATAACAATGAAGCAAAAAGGAGATGTAAAATATAAAAGGTAATTTTATAATCTCATGAATCCCCTCTGATGGAAAACTTGTATACATTCAGTCTTGTTCTTTGTTTCCCCAGGCCCAGCTGTGAATGTCACCTGTAATATCTTCATCAACAGCTTTGGGTCCATCACAGAAACTACAATGGTAAGAAAACCATAGAGATTTCAAATGCTTAACAGGGCTCGACATTATAAATGGCCCGCTGGCCCGGAAGCACTATTTAGACACCCCGGGACAGCATAACGTACTTTCCACTTGCCCGCTCGGGCCACTAAAAATATTGCTTTAAAAAAAAGAATTGTCCTGTGGTATTGGTATTTTGACTTGCAATTTAGTAAAATTGTTTCGTTTATTAACGCTACAACATAGCGTTTTGTGAGTCGGTTGGTTGTTGGGTGAAAAGCAAACAGCTGTTTGCTGCGGAGCGCAGCGCGAGCAGGCTCCCGTGAGCGGGAGCGCGCTCCTTCACTACAGACTATCGCGCCACTTAACCATTCGCCAAAATGTTTTTAATACCAGCCGGCCAAGCGCCGGGCAAAAAACAATCTTCAAATAAAAGAAAGTCACCGGAGGAGTTAAAGGAGAGTGACAGGGAGCATGAGAAGAAGAGGGAGAGAACGTTTCAGCCAGCTTGATCGATGGAGTTGGCTTCGAGTGGTGCAGTGACGCGTCCTAAAACCCTTTTATAATCTATCGATTAGATTTATGATTCGAAAATTATAAAAGTAGGGTAGACATGTGGAGATTATCCGGCTGAACAAAACCTGCATTTATCAAACAGGTTTGTTTTCCACAGACCTTATTTCCAACTATTTTCCAAAACCCTGTGGAGAAATCCCATTGCTTTTTGTCGAGGGAACCAGCAGCTTACTTCCTGGTTTTAGGACGCGTCACTGCACCTCTCAATATGATGCCAATATAAACAAGGTCTTCTGTCGGCTCTTTACATCAATGCCGACCTATGCTGACAAGTAAGTGAAGAGTAGACAATATAAAGGTATTGGCTTTAGGGAAATGTCCCAGCAGTTTAGGATAATGAAGGTTCTAATCTAATCTATTACATAGCCATTACATTTCTAACTCCTAATGACGGCAGAAAGCGCATTATACTAATAATAATACTCATAATAATAGCTGACATTTTTTAACAATGACCACAATATCATTATTTTAATAAACCAAATATGAACAATTGAGGAAATGAGGAAGAACTGATGATTCAAATGTTGTAGTACAAGTAGTAATGTAGTTAGCATAAATTACTATTGAAACAAATGTGTTAATTTTCTTCATTATAAGTCGATTTTTTTTTGGACGAATGCTCCGGGCCAGTGGTTACAATGGTGGGGCCAGTGATAATACAATTCCACCTGCCCGGAGGGCCAGTGGAATTGTACTATCCCCTTAATGTCTACCCTTAATGTCTACCCCTGCTTAACATATGTTAGATGGACAAATGTGTTTTCTTCTAAAAGAAGGGATAATGGTTTGTACTTATTTAACTGTATTTAGCACCTCCTATTTCTTTCCAACCTCTTTGCTAATCCACTCAGTGCTGAAGCCATTCTCTCATATCTGTGTTTCCTGGAGCATAACAGTGCAACCTTCAGAGACCAATGGGTCACTGACATGCAGATAATGAACTGTCCAATCCGCAATTAAAATGAAAAATTGATCAAATGGATGAAAGGGGGTATGGGAGAGAGGACGAGGGGTTCAGGGAGAAAAAGGCTGTCCTCCAGTCTGCATTTACAGCGTTATGGCTGCTGGGTCAGCACAATACAGTAGAGAACTGTTTAAGGGCGTCTGAGGGAGGCCCAGAGGGTCAGACCTCCAGCAGGACAGCCCACAGAACGACAACTCTAATGATGTCAATGCACGCGCTGGTGAAGCATGCTTTTTATTCTGAGCAATGAAGTGAACGAGCAAGAGAGGAAACGATGTGCAAAGCCCAAAGATGAATTCTGAATTAATTGCAGAGATTAGAATTCTAATTTAATTACTCATGTATGCTGGCTGCGGGCAGGGCTGATTGTGTTCTGCACTCGTCCCTCACATTGCTTGCATTGCCAACCCTCTGCTCACCAGCAGCTCGTGGATGCAATGCTCCAACAAACAGTACATCATCATTCAATCAGTTATGAATATGTTCATGCGTGGGCTTTTCAAAGAGAGTAATGCCTTTATTATTCTGAACCACTGAGGGTTACACTACAAATATGAATCATCTGCCATAACTCTAGTGCTTACACCAGTCAATGTCCTCGGGAGATATGTAAACATTTTTGTATCTGCGTTTTGAAGTACATCCTCACTTTATTAGAATCTAAAATAAAAAATCTTGAAAAACATTAGTTTGTTTCAAATCTTCCTATAATAACTTTTCATTGTGCACAGCATACCTTATCATGGTGCTGCAATGTCAGAGTGTATTTCTGTATTGTATGAATTATATCAATTCACATTTTTTGTATATTTAGACTTAAAGGTGATATTCCATCGTAGTAAGGGGGATTTTCAAAGTTCCATCATGGTTTTATCTTTGAGTTTAACAGCTTCAGTCATCTTAAATGTATGCTCAGATAGAAAGGACTTCAATCTTGAGCAGTAACAGAACATCGGAAATGTACAGAAAGATCCACCTCTAAGCTGTCTGTGTGTACTGCAACATCACTGATGGTATACGTTCTTCCACAGGATTACAGGCTTAATGTATTTCTACGGCAAAATTGGAACGACCCTCGTCTGGCGTACAGCGAATACCCAGACGACTCCCTGGATCTGGATCCATCCATGTTGGACTCTATCTGGAAACCTGATTTATTCTTTGCAAACGAGAAAGGAGCCAATTTCCACGAGGTCACTACTGATAACAAGCTTCTACGGATTTTCCAAGATGGCAGCGTTCTGTACAGCATTAGGTAACTAAAGATAAGATGTAGCTGCTGTATGAAGTGTCAAAAACTGCATATCCATCATTCATCTAACTGCTTAGGTATACATATGATTGTTTTACTCAGAAAGGCTCCGGGGGAAATGTTCAATTAACATTTGTGTAAACCTGCTTTGAAGCCACTATTACAAATACTGCTAAGCTTTTAAATATGTCTGCATTTTAATGTATAAGACATGAAACTAGTGACTAAAGTAGGAATAAAATCGGTTTGTGTTATTTTCGAGGGCTCTTTTTGGGATAATTTCTGTCAAATAAAGTGAGGAAAGTAGTGCAAATCCCACTCGTACGCGACCAGAATTATTTCAACAATTGAATTGCCAATCACAGAAGCCCCACTGCACCTTCCGCAGGTCAACGAAATGCTGAACGGGTGAAGGCATGGATACAGGAGATGTAAATGTGAAGTGGCAAGTGTGTGACCTCAAAGTCTGTTTGTTAAATGACTGTCATTTTTTACAATTGGCTTAAAGAGACCATAACATACTGTGGGAGGAAATCTCACCTTTGTAGTTCCTGCTTGTATGTCCAGTAATTATAATATTGCAACTTTAAACTGATTAATATTGGAAATGTAACCAAACCAACACTAGGAAATACAAATGTGCAAACAATTGGTTGAGCATCCTTAGTATTTGCACTTTTCAAGGATGAAATCAAGTGTAACCTATTGTTTTATGTCTAGACTGATAATTTAGTTGATAAGATCAGCAATTTAACACCTCTATGGAAGCCCCCTTGTGAGTGCTTTTCTTGTTTTGTTTTTTTAATCCTCCTGACACTCCCAAATCTTTCTTTCCTTGGACCAGGGGCCGTAAATATTTGGATAAAAAGATTATTGAAGGAGAGCTCGACATTGAGCTGTCAGGAGAACAGAGGAAAGAGAGGCAGAAGAGCAGATTTTTTTAAATGTGTTAACATTGTTTTCCATATTCAATGAGATGAGAATGTGGTAAAAATAAAAATGTATTTAGTATTACTAAATCATGCCAAATCTTAATATTACCATATTATGAAAAAAGTTTGACCTGATATTGATTGTCCAACATGAATAAATAACGTTATACAATCATCAGCCATTTCCAACTTCCCAATAACTCTTAACTACATTACTCTACGAAATGATTTAAAGAACAATAATAATTATAATCATTTCCTTCCGGGTCTGAAGGGGTTGTTATGTTGATAACAACAAAAAATAAGATTTCTTATAATTTTCAAAGCTAATACATTATTTTATTTTGAGTTAACAGAACTTATTATATCTCTCTTGCTTTGGGATCAAGACATAATACATGAATCCTGTTGCAAACACAGATAATAACAACCTCATTCCACTGATTTACTGCATGCTCTAGATTCGGTTACCAACTATGTTTGGTAATTGTGGATCAAACATCTTTGTGTGGATTAAATCCATGACACAATTAATCCAGTGCTAGGATAATGAATCACTTGGGTATTTGTAGTTTGTTCTTGAGCTGGTGAAGGATATTGTGTCATCATAACACAGTAGCAAATGGGTGCCTTTGTGTATACTGCTCGCAGCTCTTGTCTCGCCTCTGGGCGATGCATTACAGCAGGTAATTACACAGTTTCCCCCCCGAACAGACTCCTAAATAGATCCCACTCTCTGTTCTCTCAGGATTTTTTGAAGGCTTAATGCATCAACACCACAACATATAAATGTCGGGATGCCTACGCCAATTACTTTGCCATTACATTGGTGCTGCCAGGAATCAAATGGTAGAGCAACTCAATATGTTTCCCATTCTACTCTTTTTGAATTATACACAAACGCATTACTCCTATTTTAAAAACAAAAACAGCGTGGCACTGATTTACTTCACTGTAATATGTTAACCCATCTTTTTACCTTGTGTCTTTTCCTTTTCCTGCCTTTTGACATCCCCGTTTGCTCCTCTTTTCTCTTCCAATCTGTTTTTTCTATCTCAGACTGACTCTAGTCCTGTCCTGCCCTATGGACTTGAAGAATTTCCCAATGGACATTCAGACCTGTACAATGCAGCTTGAAAGCTGTGAGTTTTCTTCTTTATTTCCTCTTCCTCTCGTCTCAGACACCTTTTTGTTTTCCACCTTCTTCCTGATTTTTACCTTTTCCCAGCCATCTTGCTATATTTCAAGAGATGGGAACTGTATCATGAATATAAATGTCCATGTGAAGGTTCCCTGTTATCTTATTACATCTCATTTGTTCTCAAAAAACAAAGATTCAGAATAAATAGTGAATCGATTAAACTTTGCAGGTTTATCTGCAGCAATCTAAGATGCAAAGATGTCTGGCTAACTAGTTTATTTCCTACATAACGCAGCATGACTTCTAACACCAAGGTGTATTTCACACTACATTACATTGCGAGATGAGCACATCAATTGTTGAGAGTTTCCCCCACCATGTAAAAGCACTAGACGCTTATCTATCAGTGTTGTTGTTGGCAGTCCACAGCAAACACAGGCTTTTCTCTTATTTGAAGTTTAAGGGTAAAACATAATGTTGAGAGGTTCACATTTTGTCAGAAGTCAGCTTTAAACTTTGAGCAAGCCAGAGACAGACTGAAATGAATATAAACGTACTGTACAGTATGTTCTGCGTACTGCCTACTAAATGAACAATGATGTTGAGTCTCTGCATCACATGACTGTATTGGTCTTGACAGTCCAAGCGACCGTTGAATGAAAATTGTTTACCCAAAATGTAAATCAACAGAACCTCTTCAACTAAATGTATTCATTCCTTTGTTTTATTGCAAATTAAAATGATTAAATAGATTTTTACTGTATCTTAAAAACATTCGCCCTCATTTTATCCAACAGTCATCCTTGCAGGCTTCTGAAGAGTTGCAGTGCATTTTGGGGCGATTTCACGACTCTTAGCAGCTCTTGATTATCAAGTATACATCTGGACATTTTTCACGTACACAAAATTCCCATATTATATGCAGCTGGGTCGCTCTTCAATGGCACTCTGAACATAAAACATATTTCTCATTGTTTTCGTTGTAAACAGCAGAGAGTGCAACGTTTGACACGTGTTGCAAAATAGGTGGCTTTAAAAAGTCCTCTGTTTACCATTCTTGTTCATATTTACAGCACATTTATTAAAACTCAGCTGTTGAAGAAATGTACAAAAAGGCATTTGAAACCTTATAAAATGTTATTACAGTGATAAAATGTGGGGGAAGAATAATTATCTTCCCTTTCAGTCTTCCCTTGCCTTTAGCGGAGATAGCATCTGCCCTCATGAAACCAATTTCCAGGATATAAATAATAAAACTTCAATTTTGTGTCCCTTTTATTATATGTGACCCAGCCGCTGTGACTAGAGGTGACCTACATTCCAGTCATAGGGACAAAAGAACTTGTAGCAAAAAGGAGGAAACAGAAGGAGCACTCGTACCATGAAGTCACTGCACCTTTTCAGAAGCATCTCACAAATAAATAAGTCAAGCTGAATACTGGTATCTCTACCTAGGTCCTTATCTGATTCAACGAGGAACAAGAGTTATTGGTTTGTAAGGAACTAGTTAGCCCCTCTTTGTGCAGGAGGCAGCATGATTTATTTCTGCAAATTAACACAGCGACAAACTGATAAAAAATCAAATAAATGTAACGCACAACGTACGTCAGCCAGCATAAAAACAAAAATATAAATACATTTGACCCTTTAGGAAAGTAAGGGAGACGAATTGTGACAAATGTGTGCTGGAGCCGCCGTGTGTGTGCTGGGTGTATCACATCACACTGCCATTAAAGGAGGCGTAATCATTCCTGATTAAAGGCTTGGTGAGGACACTTGGCCTTGTGTTGACAAGCGCCGGTACACCACCCAAGGGTGTGATCACCTTGGCTAGAGCTCAGTGTTAAGACGACATTATAGGTTTTACTGCCACAACTGGAGCTGTGGAAAAATGAGAAAGCGCGAGAGAGGCGCGTGATTGAAAAAAAAAAATGAAAAGAGGAGAGTCATCTTTGGGGTTTAAGAGAGCCAAGGCCAATCTTCTTTTCTGGCCTTTGATGCCACGGGCTTATAAGGAGAGAATAAGGCAGAATTGAATTGTTGAGTCTATTTATACGACACATCAAAGGCTCATATATGCAGCCTTTACCACTTCGCTTTGCCCTGAGCCATTAGCGTCCAATAAGCATAAATACACTTTGTAACTTACACCATAAGTAAAAAGCAAACCGTACTATGTGAAGCATCACCGTGACTGCAGTGGCTTTCATTAGGTGAACAGCTTTTTACCATGAAAAGAAAAATGGCATGTTACTAACAGTCATTAGTCTGCCCTGCTGAGATATTCCAGACATTATACCTCATGACTTTCATTGTATTGAACCTAAAATGCCAATTAAATTTGACGCCTCTTAGCTGTAGCCGGAAGCCAACAAAATAGCTTTTCATCATCTTAGAAAAGCAGGGTTATTTACTTCTCTAATTGTGCAGAATGTGTAAATGACAGTGAACCTGTGATAAGTGTGGTTTTTCCAGGCGTGTTGGCAGTATAACATCTTGAATAATTGATGCCTTGGTTTCACAGCCCTAAGGGTCCCAGTGGACATCGGTATTATTCAGATGAACAAGAAATGCTGCGTTGTTGTTGCATGTGGCATGCATTTTTAATAATAATAAGGTAGCTGTGAGAAGGAGGAGAGCAACTCTGGAAAAAAGCAACCGTGTGTGGAAGCTAAATAATTATCGTCTTATTCTGAGTGGTTTCCTAAACTGTGTATTCAACTTGCAAAAATAAAAACATTAAATGCCATTATATTTCCAGTTTGAACATCACCAGTTCAACATGCACTCATCAGCTCAGTATACAACATCACTGTCACAAGCAGATATGCTCCTCATGTCCCCCTTTACTCTGTAACCTTCAAGCAACCACAACAACATGACTGGATCTGTGCTGGGTGACCTTTACTGTGACAAACGTGATGGCAGAGGCTAGCTGGTAGCTGGACAGATGGGCAAAAGCGACATTATATCACCACAATCTTCAAAAGTTCATTCTCTCTTTCTCTCTGGGTCTCATTAGCCAATGGCAGGGTTGTGCTAGTTGTGGTGTGGTGAAAAGTGTGATTTTGTAAAAGGAAGAAGAGGATGAGGAGCAAGAATATTTACCAGCAAATGCAGTAGTGCACTTGGTACTGTGCAATACCTTGAAATATACAGGACAAAACATAAATTGTCCGATGCTGACAATACAGCAATATGAAATGTTATTCGTTGTGTGAGATGCATTTCCTGTTCATGGTCAGCAAACACATATAAAGCTTAATTTGAATGTGTACTTGTACTGTAGAACCGTTGCTGAAATATCAATACAATGTTGAGATTGATGACCTGCAGCTGCAAGTAAAATGCATCACTTCCTAAAATATTATTGGAATCTGAGCTGTAACATTTAGGCGGTAATATAAAGATGTGTCATGTCTAAAATCTGGTATATAAGAGACTGTCTAAATGATGAAGAGCATCCCATTCTCTCCTCTTCGAAGTAATGTTGAAAAATGTATCACCAAGGTATGCCAGAATTGGTCTTTAATGTGCAATATCCATGGAAATAATAACAAAAGGGGAATTCATACCATATCAAATGTATATCTGAGCTTTAGTGAAAGAAAAACGAAATGTCTTTCCCTCGTTGAAAATAACTTCTCCATCTCCTCTGTACTCTTTTCACAGTTGGTTACACCATGAATGACTTAATCTTTGAGTGGCTGTCTGAAAACCCCGTTCAGGTGGCTGACGATCTCACCCTCCCCCAGTTTGTGCTAAAAGAGGAGATGGATTTGGGCTACTGCACTAAGTCCTACAACACAGGTATATAATACACTCCGTATACAGTGTTGAGAAACTAAGCTGGAAACACAAATTGAAATGAAGTGCTGGGGCTTATTTTGTATGCTGAGGCATGTTGAAGAAGTTGGGTATGCATGGTGATTTAACTGTTTCTTGCTGTCGGGTTAAGAAAAGGGGACATTTTCTTTTCAGTGCTTGCTGTTAAATAAGAACATGTGGGCTGCCTCAGTCCAAAATAGATTCAACAAGCCATTCAGATTTGGCTCCTCTTCCTATATGTCACATGCAGGATATACCGCCCCTTATCTGAGTATATCCAGAGCTTTAGAACTATTACACAAAGCTTCGCCAGGATTTTCTCACAAGCGAATCAGAGCAGAATGCGTTTTTACAGGAGGATAGTGGGTTAAAGAGACAGGTGCCAAAACAGAGCGGTTTAAACCGTATATGTATATAAAGACTGATCAAATGAGAAGAGTAATGTGTTTTTTGAACGTTAAAGCATGTTCTTGCCAAAAACATGTTATCATAGAATCACAAAATCCAATATTGAACATGGAAATGAACAACACATGTCCTCTTTAACCAAAACTTATCTTTATTCAATATCTTAATTATGCATCTACATTGTTTTTTCATTTGCAAGTGCCTTTATCCTTTCAAGTGTGAATTGTAAAGAGAAATGGATGAACAGAGTAATGCACAACTTCTCTTTAAACAGTTGAATGTACAATGTCATGCATCTTCAGGTAAATTCACCTGCATTGAGGTGAAGTTCCACCTGGAGCGTCAAATGGGCTACTACTTGATCCAGATGTACATCCCCTCCCTCCTCATCGTCATCCTCTCATGGGTGTCTTTCTGGATAAACATGGACGCTGCACCTGCTCGAGTGGGTCTGGGCATCACCACCGTACTGACGATGACCACGCAGAGCTCCGGTTCGAGAGCCTCTCTGCCCAAGGTGAGTCTGAAGATATATGATGGTTTGTTACTAATACAGTAGAAGGTGACATTGCTGCAAACTGGACAGGAAGAACCAAGGTGCCCCATGATGGGTATGAATTAGCGTTGAGGCTGTGAATATTGTTTTATTTTAATTAATTACAGTTTTAAAAGATTATGATGTGGTATTCAAGGCATTTCTTGCTCACCGCTAAAAACATCCCCCAAGAAGTGATACTTGATTTAGAAATGACGTCACCATTTACTACTGGTAATTCCTGACAAGCCCGATCCAAATCCTCCATGAAACAAGTGACAGACAGACAATGGATTACTGAGGATTGCGAATGGTAAACTGGTTGCATCTACATGAGTTTGGTAAATTAGGCATTTGGAAGGAGCTTTGGAAAAAGAGGATCTGCTATGAGAGCGCGTAAAGTCATGAAATGCTGACTGTGCACGAGGCAATTTCTAATTTTGGACAAGGCAAGAGATTTATGAGGGATCAGATAAACAAGTGCCAGGTGGGCTGAGGACGCTAGCACGTGAACGACGTGAAGGACTCCCAGATCCCCGGGGAGAAGGTCAGGGGAAAGACAGGCTATATTAGATCAGCAGGGAGGTGAACACTTTTTCCTGATTGGCTAAAAATGAATAACAACAATAGATTTCCTTGATGATCGAGGACTGGCCATCAGTTGAACTCACATTCAATATCAGAGCAGAAAGCATAGCAGCAGCACTTCCTGCTTGTCTACATTACCAACAGCGTTAGAAAGGTTATAATAGGTTTCAGATCACAAGTTATCCTGTTTAAATGTAAGCAATGTAACAATTTAAATAATTGCATTAATGCAAGTTATTTCATTTGATTACTTTTCCAATTACTTTTTAAAACCGGACAATAAAGTCCTAATGTAGGTATGTAATAGTGATTACCAAAACTGCCTAAAATGTGAAAAATAAAATGTGTTTTTTAAGTGTAACAATAGAAGAAAGGGCTTCAATTAAATATAAAAAAACAACGAGATTATTATTATTAAATAAAACAGTGCAATATAAATAATTGTACTTTCCATTATTTTATATATTGTATAAATACCCAAAGTGATGACTTCTGAACAAAAATCAAATGTATATATATTTTAAATATATATCTTTTGTGACAGTTCAAGTATGACATTTAGATGTAGTGGAAGTATTGATTAAAACACAGCTGAGATGTTCCCGGAGTTTATCCCTTCTGACTTGTCATTAGGCCGGGGTCTTCCTCTCCACTTTCACTGTAAGTGAGAAAACTGCTGCTCAATTGTGTGAAGTTTCCACACAATACGTTGCTCAGTGGGCATTGCTGATTGGCTGTGACATCTCAACTCTCATGACCGGACGGGGCTCCCCTCAAGTCTCGAGCTGTGACCTGTCTCATGGCTATGTGTCAACTGCCCCCATCCCACAGACTCATTACACATATAGACCCTCCCCAAAGATGTATGTCATTACGTGCCTAAGCTAAGGAATGGGTAGATTGTGAAGAAGCCATGGATTATCCGTTATAGCCTCATTGATTGGCTGTTGATGACTGTGTGACCTTGTGTGTTCCCCAGGTGTCCTATGTGAAGGCCATTGATATTTGGATGGCGGTGTGCCTCCTGTTTGTGTTTGCTGCCCTTCTGGAGTACGCAGCAGTTAACTTTGTTTCAAGGCAACACAAGGAGTTCATCAGGCTGAGGAAAAGGCAGCGGCAGCAAAGAATAGTAAGTGTATATCACACACACACAAAAGCTTAAGCATGATCAAACACACACACACATTGTGGCAGATTCTATAAAAGTAAGCATGTTGAGCACAAAGACAGACTAAAGCATGCTTACACACAGTGACGGACAGTAACTAAGTGCATTTACTCAAGTAATGTATCAATTTTTACTTTACTTAAGATTTTCCATTGCCTGCTGCTTTATACTACCCCCCTGCTAATCAAAGGGGAATGTTGTCCTTTTTATTTAACTACAGATATTATATTACAATAATTTAAAACAGATCAAAGTATCATTATTTTCTTATAAATGATCATGTACTTTATTGACCCCTTTGTAAAATTCCCAAGCTACCTGTCAGTAAATATAGTTTTTAAAAAGCTACTTCTTTACCAGCTGCAACATGATCACAACAAAAAATAATCAATACTTCGAGTCCAATCAATTACATTATGCTGAAAGTGGCCGCTGTGCGTAATCATTTATTTGTACTTTTGGTATTAGCTCATAGGTAACTTAAACAAGATTTTAAATGTAAAGTATAACTTTGAGTTATATCCAGTTTTTCTACAATGTGTACCCCTTTTACTTCATCCAACTCTGCTTAGACACACACTTAAACACACTCACATTGTGGCAGATTCTATACAAGAAAGCATGAGGAGAACGTATGCACACACACACACACACACACACTCCCTGTCAGCCTCTATAACATTGACTTATGCCTCTTGTTATTGTGGGATGCAGTATATTCAGGAAGTGACAACATCAGCACGCTACAGCTGGCTGTCATATTTCATGAGGCAGATCGGCTCATTTCTGTTCAGCTCGTTTCCATAGTGAGCACTGACCTGAGAAAAGTCTTGTTGATCTTTTCTCTTTCTCTCCGTCACTACATTCAAAAGCATCAGCCTATCACATCAACCACATGCCAGAGTAAAACACTAACCCTGCATTCACACGCAACATCTTTAGACCTGTTGTCAGTCTGACACTATTCCACTGCCCATGTGTAATACAATAATATCTGCTTTAATTAGTTTATATGACAAGAAAGTGAGCACTAACCACTTTCTTTAGATACTGGCATTTCTTTAAATACTATAACTCTTCAAATTATTAATTTGTACTTAAGGCATGCACTAAAGCTCTTAAAAAATGTACCTTGAAAAATAAGTATATATGTAGTTTGTTAATTATGTAAACAGTATTGCTTTTATTCAATTGTAATGTACTGTATTGTTTTTCATATCTACCTGCCCAGGGACCATAGACGTAAATAGGCTTTACAGCTTATTGGTTTGGGCTGTTCATGGCACCTGTTAAATAAATGTATTAATCAAACTAATGTAAGAATAATGTTTTGGTTGCCATGTTGGAGGGAGGTCATCACGTTAAAATAAAAATAAAAACAGAAATCTTACTAGGTACATATAGTCACTGTGTCACTTTAAACATCCCTTTCAGCCAAACATAATGCGTTTCCTCAATTTGATCCATATATTGACAATCATCAAAGCCATCAGCGTGTCAGTTGACAAATATAAGCACTAGCACAGAGAAGTGAGAGACCTAGTTTGACACAGAAATGTTTGTCTCAAGAGGAACAGAAGAGACATCTTGAGAATCCCATTAAACAGCTCACTGGCTGGGCAGCTCCCCAGACTCATGGCAAAGTTCCCTGTAGACGAGGAAGAAGACTCCAGCAGACTTACGGGCAGTCTGCCCTCATGCATCGATACACGAGAGAGAAAATGACTCTCTGTAGGGGAAAATACTTCTATGCTCCACATCAGATGCACAATTACTCCCACTCAGGACTTTGAGGTCGCAAACTATCCATTTGAGGGGTATTGACACATGAGCCGGTGTGTTGTAAGAGAGGGAGTTTGGGAATCTGATGGAGTGTACAAATCCCAGACTAACCAGGTTCAATCAATGCACATTCAGCTTTGTGTTTGGCATCTTTGGTCATCTCTCTAAGCCACAATATAAAGCCTTTGAAATAACAAAATCGGAAAAATAGAGCTTCCATTTATAGTCTTTACAGAAATAACTTGAACTGTCACCTTGAGGATTCTTTATTCGTCTTCAAAGCCAGTTCCCCAGTCGAACAGCCGCAGATAATGTCCTGTATTATCACACTCACAGCCCCTCTTTAATTAAAAGCTGAGAGGGCCTGCTTGAGTTTGTTGTTTGAATGTGATGTTTGCATCTTTAATTACTTTATTTTTGGCATGGCACAGGTAGGTTTTCCATTTAAATGAAGCAGGGGGACTTCTTGTTCCCAGCTAAATGTGAAGGCCCATGTCCAAAACTGATTATAATTCAACGATTTATCTTACAGGAGAAAACTCTTGTTTCAAAACTATTGTTTCAAAACTAAAAGGTGAAATAAGGAGCAATAACTCTTGCTTCAATTTGTCTACCTTGCTTTCCAATGGAGATGTTTGCCAGTCAGCATGGGAGTGTTGAGTCGTTGCGGAAAGTGAGTGACCTCCCAGGTAACGGCTCAACCTACAGGAACCTGAATCAGCACTGCAGCGCCTGTGCCAGGGTAAAAAATTAAACCCCATGTCAACCCAAGACCTTCAAACCGCATATTATTTCATGCCCCCAGTCCTCCAAATTGATTGTGTCATTCAACTTTCACTTCAGACCTGAATATATCCTGAAATGTTCTCCTACATCCTAACCCGCTTCGTGCTGATCTCACCTCCAAGCCCTCCATTTATGACCTTCTGCCCCTTAATACAAACACTACTAACTTCTTGCCCTTAATTCCTTTCCAATGTTTAACCGGTTTTTAACTCAAATTTAAAGTCATGCATTCCTTCCTCTTCCCTTGTTTTTTCATTTCAAACTTGTAATCTGCTTTTTTTTCAGGACAATCCCCAAGAATGTTGGCTTTTATTACTGTTTTCATTTAAATAATTTACTTGATTAACTTTTTTAAAACAGCAATTCACCAAGAATTACATTTGGGAAATATATTTCCACACCTCCCTGCAGTATTAAGATAACACATTGATACACTCTTGTGCGATAAATATGAATATACATCCAGCAACTGGCTAGCCGGTTAGCTTAGCATAAATGCTAGAAACTGAAGTAAGAGATAGCCGGGTTCTGTCAAGAGAAAACAATATTCCCCTACCAGCACCTCTAAAGTTCAACAACATATCGTTATTTTCCAAAACTGAAGTTAAAAAACATAACTATCTTTGTAACATTTGGATAGGCACAGGTTAGCGGTTTTTCTAGCCGTCTTTATGCTTATCTAATTCGATATATACAAACCACACAGACATGACAGTGGTATACATGGCAAAGAAAAAGGTTTTTTTCTTCAAATGCTATAGCGATTACTTTTACAATTCATAATAAAGTGATTGCATTGTGAATGAGCACTCTGTAAACAACCACCTCCACAGTAACTTAAAAACACTTTGTGCTCTGTAGAGAATAATCACTCTCAGCTGATCTTGTGCCAACAAATCACAAAGTGTGAAGCTGCTGCTGGGAGCACAGACGATGAGCACCTATTATCTTTAGAGAAACGCACCATTAGACTTTAGCACATGATGTACTGTATCGTTTAGAAAGGAGTAGGAGGGATAATTAAGCTATAAGGGCCACAACTCTCTACCCCTCTGTTTGGTGGTGCACTTTGTCAGTGGTGCAACAGATAGTTTTAAACTCTGAAATGAATCACGAGCATTCAACTAGGAGGAGGAGCTTACAGGATAGGAAGTAAACTACTAAGTCTTTAGCTAAGTGAAGGTGCGGGGTAAAGGGCAGTTGGCAGGGTTCAGAAGTCTGGGAAGTTTTTTAAAGTAAAAAATGAATACATTGTGCAAGACCAGACAGGTGGAGACAAGTGTGAAATACATAAGTAGCATTGGTCTTTTGACAGGTGCTGGTAGTGTCTCACTGCCAAGTCCGTCCGGCACCGAGATGTGAAGTTCAGCCGAGAACCAGAGAACCGCCGGGGTCAGTGAGAGAGACACAGAAGAGGGAAGGACACAGGGATCAGAGTTTTTGGGGCACTTCACACTGACTTCTAATAATCCAATTTAGATCCCACATCTTGCCTTTCCCCTGCTAAAGTGAATCTCTCAAAGTGTCAGAGGGCTGTCAGAGTTAAGCTGCATGTCTATTAATATTCTCTCTTTAAAAAAAAAATAAAAAATGCCCTGCCATTCATCAAACATAGAGCCAAGTGCAAGTTTTTTTGGAGAGGTTGAGGTCATGACTTTTTATTAATAGGCATTTTGAAAGGTCTATCATTCTATCAACTTTGAAAGGAGCCTGAAAGAAGAGAGAGGGGTGAATTTCTTGATTAACTCCCGTAAAAAACATTTTCTTTCTTCCTTCTAATGATTATGCCCTCGGATGTCCCTCTTCGTGTAATTTCAACTTCTGAAAGCCTGGTGGGAAGAGAGTTCATCCAAGGCTAGGGTTAGTTTGTGCCTCTCACGTATTAGTATAATATGTTTGAAAAACCCAGAAGGTCTTTGAACGACACACTTTTCTCACCACAACTCTCCAAACCACTTGTTGCATTAGAAACAATTGTTTTGACCCATTTCTTAAATGGTGCCTTTATTTCCTGGCAGCATTTACATAGACTAACATGCTTAGTTTATACATGATCCTAACATTTTAAAGTCATTATCTGTTTTTAATTTAGCAAAGAATTTACTTTTGTGAATTTTTTTTGGGGAATTGTTGTCCACAGTCAGAGGCCAATCTGTTTTCCCTATGCTTGACTACACAGGAGGAGGAACTGGTGAGGGACAGCCGTGGTTATTACTTCCGGGGTTATGGAATGGGTCACTGCCTGCAGAACAAGGATGGCAACGCTGTGGAGACTGTGTTCACCCCCCCACCGCCGCCCCCTCCCCCTCCAGTCACCGTCTACGATGGCGAGGTACTTCACAAGCGTTTTGTGGACCGGGCCAAGCGCATTGACACCATATCCAGAGCCGTGTTTCCCTTGAGCTTCCTCATATTCAACATCTTCTACTGGATCACCTATAAAGTGCTGCGACACGAGGACATCCATGCAAATTTGTAGAACGCTCTCTGCCGACCCCAGTTATTACATTTTCTTTCTTTCTCTGAACCAAAACTGCCTGTCAGATCTACATTACAATGAGGAAATGTGTAAAGAGGCATCCCTGCTTCTTAAAACCATTGCTAAAAAAAACGTTGTGCTCAGGTGTGTTTTCAGGATCTCAGAAGAAGAGTGATTAAGCGGAAAGACAAAGTTAAGCTGCGTGGATTCAGACTGGTGTCGTTTGTGATTCTCGCGTTCCTGTCTTGGTTTGATTCATCCGCATTACAACAGAGACAAATCACTGCTGGTACTTGTGGGTTCATGACCTTTGTAGGAGATGATGAGACCTGATGTTGATCCTGGCTGAATGAGATATACTGACTTGAATTTTGCAATGCGTATCTTTGAATGTTTTTGAAAATTTGAAAAAGATTAAAAAGGGATTTTTTTATACCTTTAGAATATCTTGTGGTTAGGAATTGGTGCGGGGGGAGGAATGGGTCTTTGGGATTTATTCATATTCAATAAGCGATGATAATACAATTAAGATTATATATATATATATAAATATATACAGTGTATAAAGTGTATATTAACAAAAGCTGTTCATTAAACTGCACAAAGCACAAATATGTATTTCCTTTTGTCTAAATTGAAATAAATTGTTATTCTGCCAGGAAACAGAAATGATTTGTTTTCTCTTTAAGCTGAAGATCCGAATGATTACTCTGAAAATTGATGCAGGGGTTCTGAAATACAGTCACAGAATAACTGCATCACATACAATTACTTTTCTATTTCAGTCCTTTAATAGACTCCATCAGCTCAAAATCCCAAGAGGTAAGGAAAACACTTTAACCCAAAGTGGAAATCAAACGCTACAATAATGCAAATTGTATATTTTTCATTATGCAAAATAAGCAATCAGTCACCATCAGTAGTCCTGGGTCTCTGTAAAGCTTTGTTATCATGGCTCTAATTGTTAGCCGTTACACTTCGATTCAAATCTGGGAAGAATCTGGACAAATTGTGGAGCTGCTATTTCTTTCCCAGTCTCAGGAGTGACTTTGAAGGTGTGGAAATGCAGGGTTGCGGTGGAGGGGGAGCATCGCCAGCGAGGGAGGACGAATGGGTTTTTTTAATGGGAAATCAGAGGGTTATTTTATCAACTAATGAGTTTGAAAAGGGCTTGGTGTTCCACTGCTAATGACAATTAATTCAGAGAGGCAGAGAGCCTACTGTCCTTTTGTTGGCAATCCTAATCAACTCCTCTGTATTGTATGGTTCCCCAGGTAATGAAAAAGTGTGTGTGTGTGTGTGCGTGTGCGTGTGCGTGTGTGTGTGCGTGTGTGTGTGTGTGTTTTCGAGCATGAGCATGCCTTTGTTTCTACTTTATCCCGCCTCTGTTGTATCGATATAGATTTGTTCAGATGTATCCAGCGTTGCATATTATCTTTTAGAATCACAGCCTACTGAACTTTAAAAAAGGGGGTTCTGTTATTTTATAAAAGGTTGTGGTAATAAACAACTTTGGAATATAAAGAAAGACCATAAAGAGTAGCTGATTATTTGCCATAGATAGCTGAATATACAGACTGGATTGATATATTTCATGAAATCCTTACCATACGGACTACTTGAGTAGACTTATGAAAAACAGTGTGAAGGCACGCAAAGTGTCAAAAAGATTGGCTGTTGCTTGTCACTGGCATAGCTTTCCCCAGCAGTAAAGCATAAATTAAACAAACAAACAACTAAAAAAAAAAGCCTTAGAAACATTCTTCTTATTGCAACCAGAAAAGATACAGAAACAGAGGTGGTGATTGGTCAATCGCTTAGCAATGTCCCGCCCCCTAGCCTATCACATACAATGTGTTGAAGCGCTAGCCAATAGAAGCGAGTGTTACATAATGATGTCACAAGAGAGAAACTCCCTCTTGAGGGAACTTTTTTGATTTTAGCCTTTGCAGACCATTTACATGCACAAAGACCTATAACAAACTATAGGAAAAGGAAAACCCCCAAAAGTAGGGCTCCTTTTTTTTTTTTTAAACTAACAAGGAAAACATAAATTTGACAACACATTTTATCATCTATTTTTATTTTTTTATGGGACCATTGTTAATAAATGAACATCATGCAAGACTTGAAACTTTCCATTGAGGCCATGAACTCGTGAGGAAAATATTTACTGAGGTTATTAATCAAGTGAGAAGTTTGGCCTTTTCCTGATTCTGTTTTGACCACTAAGACACAAACAATGAGTTGACATTTATAACTGAATGATCACAAAAAAATATGATATTAAATTGATAACTAAACGTGATGATAATATTCAGTAGTGTATATAGAGCTTTATACGTTTTAATTAAAGCTATAAACACCTCCCTGACACTTTATAGATAATTATCCTAGATCCCAAACAAAGAAGCAGTATCACAAGAAGCATCACCATAGCAACTGCTATCCTTTCAGTGCAACGCAGTGATGGTATTGTTCACTCGTGATGAAAAAACACGGCAAATTGGTGGCAATATAAGAAGCTTTTCTAAATCCACAAACCCTGACTGACACACGCAAAATAGGCCCATGATTTCTGACACATTACGCCTCATCACCTCTTCCGGAAAACAGCATGTCCCCCACAATGTGTATTATTATTTCAAGGACACATGCAGACTGATGGATTCCAATATTGTAGGATCTTCAATCGGCAGAGCAGATTCACGCGCCAACTTTCATTAAACACAGAATCCCAAGAGTGTGATGAGTTAAACAAAATCACCCCTGCAACCTTCAACCTGTCACAAGGGACCAAAAAGATAACCACAGCTATCAAAATGTCTAATCTAGAGAAGTAATCCTTCAATTGAAAGACAGACGCAAATTAAAACATTAAATATTAATTGTTCCACAGGCTTTGGACCTTTCTGACACTGTGTTGTGTCACGCTGCTTATTTGAAAACCTTCTCTCTTCTTTCTTTATTTGAAGACGCTTTATGGTGATGAATGACACATAGGTCATCAGATTGTGTTTAAATGAAGATACAATGAGCAGGAAGGGAAGGAATGAACATTTGATGTAGCTGCTGATCATCATGTCCAAGGCATGCCCTTGCTGTCTCCCTCGGGATAATCAACATGTTTCTCCCCCTCCTCATTTCAGCTGAATGTCAATATTGCCAGACTCAACTGATGTGTGAGCTTTGAGAGAGCCTAAGACCTGCAATCAATACTTCTTTCCATCAGAGCCACAAGCATCCTATATAATGCACATACAAAACTGACACACATACAGAATGTGTTGGATTTTCACACTCAATTAAATGTAACAGCGGCAACGAGCGCAAACTTGTATGAGCTGTTATATTTCACTGCTTTACTTCTTTGATAAGTTGCTTTTAATGATTTTCTTAACACTTTTTAAGGAAAACAATTTCCAAATTTTGATTTTTCTTCCTGGAAAATGTTATCGTTGACCATCTAGCATGTAGTCAGAAGATTATTAGAACAGCTACTGTGATGTGCTACTGCTTTTGTTGACAATCTTTAAAAAATAAATGAGCATTTTTACATGTACACTGTACATTTCCAATAGCTACAGTACAGCTGTAAATAAAATCTATAGCACCAAACATAAGAAATATCCCCACCTCTGGGAAAGTGAGAAGCCCGGTATGAATAAATAGCAGCCGAGGGGAAATATTGGTTTCTTTTGAGAGTGATGTATTAATGATACAACGCACAACATGCCACCTTTGAATATATGAGTGTACTCATACTGCCTGCTCCACAGAGCAACATCCATGCAAAACTTGTCAATGTCTCACGGCATGCTGATATCCTTACACTTTAAATATTTTATTTTGCAAATGTACTGTCTATCCACTATTCAATGGATACATTCAAGTCTTGGACACAACGTGATGTTTTACCGAGAACAAAAATGTGTTTTATGTAAGGTAACCCTAACCATCAAATTTTGTGTTAATGTATACCCCTAATCACACATTTATGCAGAATAATTTGTTAAATTAGAGCATATCCACTACTTAATGTGTATGGGTCTAATTATTTAAAAATTCTTTGTTATTTTTTAATCAACAGTGGCAAGTTTGCATTTGATTATGGTTGCAGCAACAACAACAAAAAAGGTACACATTTGCCTCATATTTATGAAATTACTCAACACTCAAAAGAGAAACCACAGTTCAGATAATGAAGTCTGTAATGATACATAACTGAAAAAAGACTTTCTAAATCACAATGTACACAATCATTTATACTGGCAAAAAGCACATTTGCAGGCAAGATTTGAATTAATTAATCAAAATTAATTTGCTAGAATTTGTCAGGTGACTACAAGACAGAAATGTAATGTGAAAGAGCCTAAACAATCCTCTGCCTTTGATCAATGCAGTAAAAGCTTAAACTAAATTCTCACTAAAGCATCTTAATTAAGTCATACATCAGTGAAATACCCTTTGGATCTGCTCAACGTATGAGGAAGTTATTTAATTTCACTGTCAAATAGTCCCTTCAGCACTTCACGCTCTGTTATGCATGCAATACAGTTTTTTGTTCCAAATATTCTTCAAATAGAGAAGAACAGCCATTCCCCAAGTCCTTTGCCTCGTCTAATTGTTCCACCAATCGCAAGGTCTATGACTCAAACCCCTTGATAATGGATGGTACTCTGAGGCAATGAAGAAACAATGGTATAATCACATTACTGTAGCTGACTGCAGCATGTGGAAATATGTACAGGATATTGTGCACATTTCTGCTGTTCACATATTTATGGCAGCAGTTTCAATTAATACTTTATTTCTTCTTACATCTAGAGTTGAGACATCACTCTCTGTCTTTTGTATGTGTCTGATTGGTCAAGAAGGTTCATTAATTCAGAGTTATACAAAAAGGCAACATGCTCTAATTTTTTAAAACTTAAATCACATCTAGAAATGTATTGTTTTTATTTTTTTTCCGCTTTTGTCAAATTTGAATAATGAAATCAGGCAACATACATCTTCAAATGACATGCTTTCGAGAGCACAGCAGGGAAAACCTACATTTTTAGCAGCACTGAAGAATTCCTCCTAGTGTATACTTATACAGGGAATCCTATGTGGATTCATTTCCACTAATCCCTTGCTGCGCTTCTACATTTCTGTAATGCCAACATCTGAGAGAAGCCTTGCAGCTGTGGAGACAGCAGCCCGGGGGTTTACGTGCATAATGGTTATAGACATACATGTGCACTGCATGTCCTTTGTGTGCAAACAGGAGAAACAAGGAATTAGTTCCTTCCCCATCGCTCCGTAGAAAGAATAAGCACCAGTCAGAATGATGTCAAACCTCTTTTCAAAAGTCCCTTGCTTTGTGGAATGTTCTGAATTTCTTGGGTAGAGCTGAAGCCTGAATATTGAATTAGGTGTGACAGCAATTCTTCATACAAGATTTTAGAAAATGTGTAAGGGCTCCTTCCACCAGCAACATGGAAGATGCATTCTGTACAAGGCAGACTATATGTATTCATAGGAATACTTATTAGTGCAATAACAAATTAAACACTGACACCGTGCCATTAGACAT